AGCTGAAGCTGAAGAGAAGGATTAAGAACTTGCAACTATAAGCAACAGAAAGAACCTTTAACTGCCTTAAACCAACTGAGAAATACACTGTAGAGAAGGATTTTATCTACCTATGGACAGTGAGAAGGTGATGGATACCAGCCCTGCATTACCTCAGGCAAGAACAGGAACTACCCTGCCATTCTTAGGGAAGCCAGACACCAGAGGATAAGTCACGCTGCAGACCTCCACAACACCATTCCTTCTAACCACAAGATGGCTGCTGTGCCGCATCAACTGATGGTCAACTCTGCTTGCCAGAACTGCCTTCCGGAGACTGTATTCCATGGAGACTCACCTACAGTTGCGGAACTGCACGAGACCCACACTTGATCCAACCTTGAATGGAATCTATTTTCCCTATTGTTAAAAACTTTGGACTCCTGGCCCCTCTCCCTCTACTCGCAGGTATCGCATTTTCAATGACCCCTCTGGAGGATAGCTGTCTATAGCAGAGATAGAGTAATTGGGAGAGGGGGAAAGGGCTGAGGGTCAAACATAGGATAAAAAACATATTTATATGTATGAAAGTAGAAATGGAACAGTATTGGTGACGACATGCTTGATTGAGACACTATGCAGTTTATCCTAGATGGGAAACTACACTTGGTGTGTTGTGATGATACTCAGGGAATGAGTGTTAGGCAATATAATTTAATATAAAAAAAATAATAATAATAAAAATAAAAAAAAAAAAAAGAATGGACCAGAGGAATGGCTTATGTCTTTCCATTCATACACTTGTCCCAGCATCTTTCCGGCCTTGCTTTTCGAAGGCTTCTGCTTACTTCATCAGCAGCCTGCATCCTCTCAGCTGCTGCAAACACCATGGTATTCCTGCTCGGAGGGCTGAGGTAGCCTCTTATTTCCCAGCCTGTGTTCAGATCTCTGTGTTGTATTTAGAATGTCAGAGGAGAGGAGTCTGTCCTCCATCTAGGTCCCTTTCAGGCTGGAGTTGGCCATCTCCTTCACAACTCCCTGGAAAGGGACCGACCAGCTCAGCACACTCTGGGAGATGCAGGCCACTGTCAGCAGAGATTAGACCATTTCACACGTGACCTGCATCCGGCCTCAGGGAGGAAAGGCTGTGGTGTAAGAGAAATCATTTTCCTTCCCATCTGGGACCAATTAAGGTGTCGATTCAGAGATGCTGGGCTCACAATGGCCCAGTTCCAGGGCAATTTAAAAATATACCAGGGCTTTCCTTCAAGCAGAATAATGTGATAAAAGTAGTGAGAGGACAAGGAAGCAGGTATGGAGGAGGAGTGGGGCCTGACTGTAAACATTTCACTCCCTTCAAAATGTATCCAAGAGAAATGTCATGGGCACCACTGGATGACAGGGAAGTCCAGTGCTATTCTTAGTGGCCATTCTTAGCACAGATACCATCCCCGGGTGAGTTCTGGGTTTGCTCCTCAATCTGGGAAGCAGAAGACGGATTCCACTTGGCTTAGATGGTGGTCGTATACAATCAAATCATATTGCTCATGGTAGTTCTGTTTTTATAAAATGACTGTGAACACTGAATAGTGGTACTGAGCCATTGTTCTTAGAGGAAGTACAGTTTATGTTCCTGTGGGCCTTGCCACAACAGCCTTGTCCATTGGTCATGTCAATGAATAACCTTATTTCTTGTGCGTTTCTGTTGAAAGACACTTGGTTTAATATTTATGTCTTACAAATAATAAATTATATGCCATATTTCTTTATAATAAAACACAAACCAAGAAGGGTTAATGCTTTCCTGACCCTAGGGAACATGACTGTAAATTTCTTTGGCTTTCAGCCTCATACTGTCTGCCACACTTAGTATTTGCTGTAATTGTTGATTGTCTCATGGATCTACTAATTCAGCCACCTTTTAGTCTTTTCTATAGCTTCATCATGTACTATAGATATTACCTTGTCACTTTCTGGAGTGGGTTCACATACAGATTGACAAATTTCCTCTTCCTTTGTCTGGATGTCCCATATTATTGATTCATTAGCATTGAACATAGAGTCAACAACACTATAACCCATGCCTGAATGAAGCTTATTCATGTGTATTTCCTTTATAGGGCCTATCATCACTCTCCTGTACTTGGTTACATTAGCCAGCACTTTGGTACTATGCTTGGTGATCATTTTAAATAGCAAAATCAACCAAAAGCACAATTGGAAAAACATATGCAAACAGACCATGAAAAGAATATTTGTTTACAGCACAAGAGCTAATTAGAAGGGAGAGTCCCTGTGTTCCACCTCACCTGGGAACTTGTAAATCTAGAGGCTCAAAGTTTTTTCACCATTCTGTGCATGTTCTTGTGTGATTTCAAAAGTGTTGAGAGTATTGATTAGAGGATTACCAAACATTTTTAGCAAGTACTGCATTTGTAAATAATGAATCTGCCAGTGATGAGGACTGACTATACTGAGGTCCTCATAACTCTCATTAATCAATTGCATCCTGCAGAAGGGACACCTCACTATTCCATCTGACCCTGTGTAAGACCTCAGAAAAAGATACCAAAGACAGAGGAAAAGGATATGACATTGTTATA